CAATGCCTTCCTCAGGGCATAGAAGACTTGATGTACAGGGAGATTCTAACATGCTTTTGTGAGTTCTTTTCCTAGGCAATACTTAAATACACCTTTTTTTCATATCAGTGTAGAGATGGAAATCTGGGGACAGCAAGCATTGCCTGTCAGAGAAATATCTGTGATTATTCTGCCATGCTTGAGAGTTGTGCTGTATTAAGACTGTAATTCTGTGCTGCTCTCTTTGCTGTTTGTGTGTTGCTGTCTTCTGGAGAGGGGTGCAAACTGAGAGGCTGCTGCCTGGGGTGCAGTGTACCCTTTGTCAAGGGTCAGTCAAAAGCTTGTGTGTGTGGCCAGTCAGGAGACCAGAGGGAGGTCAGCACAGCCCAGAGCTTGTGCTCACTCTGCAGCAGCACTTGTGGGCAAAAGGAATCACAACTCACTGTTCTGTAACAGCTGAACCAGTGACAGGACAGCAGCCTAAGCCTTGAAAAAGACCACGTGGCACTTGCAACACCAGCTTTCCAAGATAGGAAACTGCATTCTATCTGCTGCCTTTTGACATCAGCAGAAGTAGGAAAGGAACAGCATTTAAATAAGTACAGTACATAGACAAGAATCTCACAGGCACCAGAAGAGAGAAACTGTCAAACTGGAAATGTTATTCAGAATGGATAAAATGATGGGGATTTCTTCATGAGTGATAACAGAAGCAGCTGATAAGAAATGTCATTGGTTTTGATATAAAAAATGTGGGGTTTTTGTTTGTTTTTAGATAATAATGCTTCAATGTAACTATAAATCTATCTTTTTTTGGCTTAGGTTGCTGGTAAGTTTAGGTGCATGAGATATGAGGAGATGGTAATCATTGCAGGAAGTACACAGTTCAGCATGGAAGTGAAGAGCACAAAACTGTGCTCAGTGTTCAAATATAATTAGTGAGCCTCAGAGCAGAAGCTGGTTGGAGTCTGTCAGTCCATTATGATATGCATTGACTGCAGCAGAAGAGGGAAGGACTCTTCTACTTTTTTCACAGTTAAACACACAAATATTTGTGTATCTAACCTCTAAGTTTACCAAATGCATAGTGATTTACCACAACAAAATGTCATCCCTGAAGAAGGCTGTTTCTGAGAGAAGCAAGTCCTTACCTTACCTGTCTTTTGGTTTGAACAGAAGTCAAAAGATGCGTGATCCACTCATGTGCCCTGAAGGGAGTCAGCGCATCCAAGCCAGCAGATGTATCTTGCAACTTCCAGAGGTGAGAAGCTGAGAGAGCTGAAAAACTCTTTCACTTCATTTCTCGTACCTGTTGATGCTGTGCTTTGAGAAATTCCTATTCTAAATCAGGGAGATTGATTACACTGCAAGTGGGACACTCAGTTCCATAGTGCAGCCAGTGAGTCCCTTGCCAGGACAGACATACTGAAGTTCCCTGAATTGTCTGTAAACCCAAAGGGGGAGCTTTGTTCTGCCAGGAAATAGTGGCAGATATTTTATGAAGACAGTCATAGTGGTTAAAGGGTCTCTTTCTTGAGTTTATTGCATACAAATGGGAAGTCCCACCTGAACACGAAGAAGAACTTATTTACTGTGCAGATAACCAGGCACTGGAATAGACTGCATGGAGATGTTGTGGAGTCTCCCTCACTGGAGATACTTAAAAATCATCTGGATACAATCCCGTACATTGTGTTCTGGGATGACCCTGCTTGAACAGGGAGGTTGGACCAGATGATCCACTGTTGATTCAAACATTCTGTAGTGCTGTAATATGTGGATTTTCTTCTCCTTAGCACTGAGGATGTGTACATTTTGCCCTAGAAGGCATTGTGCTGTAGAGAGGGTAAATATTGGAGACAAAGGAGGGTAAGATAGGACAGGGGAGCTGAGATCAGTATGAGGAAGTGTTTCAAAACTTTGAAATAATGAAGCTGACAAAGAAGACAAAGCTGTGCCTGCCTGTGTAATTTAGATTCATCTTTTCCTGTCTCTGAGCTGTTATTGCGGCCCTGGGAGGACAGTTTCTTGTTTTTACAAGGACATGAAATCAATCTCATAGATAACTTCTGTTTTCAAATTATCTATGATTTGGCAAAATAATTCCATATTAAGGGATAAAAAATGTGTTGAAAGGCAAAAAAAATCTGTTGCTACTGAGTAAAAATCATGAATTATGATGTCATGATTAACCAGCATCCTAATACTTCCACTGAATTCAGATCATGGCAAATTTGTGATTCTGAAAGAATACTCTGCAGTGCTGGGCTAAGTACAGCTGGGCCATAAGTAATGGTTGTGTTATAAAATGAGCTGTTCATACTGCAGCTGCTACTAAGATCTTCAGAACACGGGTGCATGGTACAGAGCAGTGTTGTTCGACTCCATGGCCCAGCTCCAGTGAAGGAACTGGAGGCAGCCCAGATGAGTCTCACCAGCTTATGTTGATGGAGTGGACTGCTTTGTACCAGAACTTGTACCAGTTGCTCCAGTCTGTGCTGCTCTGGTGTCCCAGTTCCCTCGGAGTTGGTTTTAGTAGCCACACAGCACAGCCCTCCCGTGAGTCAAGGGCACACAAAGCACTCACTGAAGCTGTTTTTAGGTAAAGTCAGCCTGCCATTTTGATGAATGGTTTTAATCACATGGTGACTTTATCAGCATTAAACACTTGATAAAATTCTACTGCTGAGTAATTCCTGGCCAGTAAATTACTTTGCATCTCATGTTTCAGATCAATATAGTAAAAGAATGCTGAAAGGGGTTTTTAACATGGATTTAATAGACGTTACTTAACAGGCATTTCTGCAGATTAGTTTATGTCACCACTGGCAGACCCAAGATCTAAGTGCACATAATTGTAGTTCCAATAGAAAAGAATCCTTCAGTATAAACAATGTGGGTCATTAGAGCTTCCTAGCGTTTAATTATCACTAATTAGTAACTAAGTGAGGTAACATCTCATGCACCAGACTCTTAATACATTCTGTGCAGTGAAGGATGGGTCTCCCTGTGTTGTGGAGAGAAAATAGGCTGGAAGGCAGAGGCAGGGGGGTCATCTTGGTTGAGACTGAGCTAAGTATTCAACTGTTTTATTAGTAAAATCAGCATTACAGCTTGCTGAAATGATGTTTGATGTTTACCTGTCACTGCACACAGGGCACTGAGGGATCTTTTGGCATTGATAATGAGGAGTATGAAGCTATGCCTGTGGAGGTGAAGCTCTTACCCCGCAAACTCCGGTTCTTCTGCGATCCCAGAATGAGAGAGCAGCTGCTGCAGGCAGTGGTACAATGAGAATTCAGGGCACACGGGCCAGTGCTCACCAGTCTTACCAGGGTCTCTTCAAGGCTCATGAGACCTAACTAACTTGATTAGCCCCACTTGACTAAAAAGCCTTTTGGCTATTTTTATGTTTGAGGTACTTCCATTGGAAGTATATGATTTGACTGGTCTCAAAGGGGTTAAAAATGCAAATGAAAATTCTGAAAAATGCATGTTAACTTGATGGCATCTTTTTTTCCACCTCCCCTAAGAAGTCATCATTGTTCCATTTACAGCACTGCAGGCTGAACGCTGTGTGCCAGATGCTACTGCTGTAATGAAATTGTATATTAAAGTAAAATTTAAGTATACTTGTCTTTGTGTTCTAAGATTTTAGGTTTACCCATGTAAAAATCTTGCAAAACTTGGGATACTGGGAAAAAAAGTACTTGGTGGGGAGTAATGCTAAGGAATTCTATGAAACATTGGAATTGCCGCATTAAAACAGATGTCACAAAATAAACTGGAGGTTGGTGATACAAAGCTCCGGTGCAAGTTTAAAAATTACCTATATGTATCTGGATAAGATATTTATGTAATTTTTTTCATCTTACCAGATTCAGCAGCACAGAGTTCCAGTAATTATATAGTAGAAATGTATTCCTTAGATCAATTTAGGTATATTGCACAGAAGCAAACTGGAAAACATCATTGACCCAAAGCTGTATGAAAAGCTTTGGAAAGCTATTTGGAAAGACTCTTTAACAAGCTGAGTGAGTCTTTTTTTTGTTTGTTTGTTTTTTTCTTGTTTGTTTTGGTAAGTATTCCTTTTATTCCTGTAGTAGTATTATGCCAGTAAGGATATCCAAATAAAGTCTATTATTTATTTATTGTGTCTGATTGCTCTTGTCTAATGTAAACAGTGCTCACCACTCCATATGCAACCTCCATCCCCTTGAGCCTCAGTACCATAATTAGTTTTGTTGCTTTTTGTTTTGAGCTTTTGTTTATAGCTTTGCTTTAATTGCTGAAAGGAAGTATTACTGACTTAGGCAAGCTTACCTGTTGCCCTTATTCTAACTTAGAAATTCAAATGATTCTGTCTTGCTTACTGGAAGAAAGAAAATTATCCTTATTTTTCTGATGTGATTGTCTGTAGTCCATGTGTTATGCTGTGGTCTAGTCTAAGTCCAGTTGTTGACTCTGATGTTATCAAAATACAGACCTAAGTGAGTTGGCTTCCAGCAGCTCTGTCAAGGACTGAATCCCGGCAGCTTGTGCTCCAACAGCATCCTCTGCTGGAGACATCTTAAAGGAAAAATGCCTCGAAAGGGGAAGCGGGGTTGGGTTTCTGCATGATGCTGAAACCAAGCTGAATGATCTTCCCTAGACTACACTGTGGAGAGACAAATTACCTGAACTGGGTGATCTTTAAAGTCCCTTCCAGCCCTAGCTGTCCTGTAACTCTTGACTGAGACTGAAGGGGATAGAAGCCTCTGAGTTTCTTTTGATAATTATGCTGCTGATAGGACCTGGTTTGTAGTAATGAAGAGTGCCCAGTGGAGCCCTGGGTCACTCTCCAAGGAACATGGTGGTTGTGCTTTGCTCTTTTTGCTTGCCACAGAGACACCTGGGACATTGTTTTGCAGCCTCTGGCTGCAAGGGCAGTTCTCACTACTGGAATTTTTCCTCAAGGTGACGTTTCTGTAATAAAATCAGCAATGTGTTTTTTCTCCAGTGGCAGGAAAGACAAGGCAACAGCCATTTCAAAAAGGTAAGCTTTAATTGTATTGAAAAATACCCATGTTTTTAGTAAGCAGTTTCTCTACAGAGCCACAGGCCTATGGGAGCAACCACACATCTGCAAGATGCAAACAACATCAGAGCTGTTACAATTACACTCAGCCTGCTGCAAGGGATGAGATGGTGAGAACTGGCTCCTTGTTCATCTGTACCATTTTACAGGGAAAATCACTAGTTCTCTTCCATAGCTCCCAATGCAATGTGATTCCTTGCTTGAGGGTAACCAAGAGATCCCTTTAGAATTGGTATTGCTGATGTTGAAGTACCAAGGATCATTCGAGACACAGGCTGGTATTTAAATATTCATATCAGCATAAGTTGAGTAGCTTGTACAAATACCATTCAAGTAGTTTTTCTCCTTCCTCTGCAGCTCAGAGTTCTTCCAGTATAGGGTAATTCTAGACCTCTGAATTGCAACATTCTCAAGGGAGGTGTGAGACACTACATAAAATAGGCAGGGGCTGAACCTGCTATGTAAAATGTTGAGGAAAGAACTTGGTTCTCATGTTTCTGTCTGACAGCAACACAAAAATCTTCCTTTGTACAAACTCCCAGACAGGAAGGAGGAGTAAAATTCTAGGTCCCACTCATGAAAACACTTAACCTGGCTTCAACTCTAGAAGGGCTTAAAATACTGTAACATAGATAAAAAGGAAGGATAACAATCTAATCATGGACCAGCTCAAGGCACCTGTTTATTTTGACCACATTTAAGCATTCCCATTTGAATGACATGTTGCATTAACCAAGGTCTAAAATCCTGGTTCACAGGCATTTAGTACCCTCAGCTTTAGACAGACCACACTGTTAAATCAATACATTCCAGTCCCTTGTAAAAGACATTTATGCTGTCTTTTCTCATAATCACTACACCACTGGTTTTGGGAAAGTGGGAAGAAGACAGCAACTAACGTAGAAGTAATGGCTAGGATGAGAGTTTGGGTTCGTGTGCATGCTTTGTACCTAGAATTTTGCTTTTGGATAGAGTGCTCTTGCCCTACTATTCCAGGAGCCACTCTTTCCACCTCCCTGAAAGAAGCTTGCCTGTCCCTTGCACAGTCTGTGGCCAGGAGGGCCACAGCTACTGCCAATTTTTTGCTCATTAACTTTGACAGCTGTTAAAATGGGCTATCACCATAACCCTGGTTTACTGAATAACCTGTACAGGGAGCTACTTCCTCTTGAAAAGGTGATGGAACTTCTGCCCAGAAGGATGGGGACAGGCAAGCTCAGCTCCTGTGACAGTCACAACCATTGGCTGTAAGACACACTGCAGTAAGTACCTCATGTATCCTAGAAAATAAGGTAGTAGCATGTCTGTAAGACAAATCTGAATTCTGATTCCATCAAGTGCCTTTCTCCTAGTATCCATTATAGTTCTTTATTGGCTCTAAGCAGCTTGGCCTAACCTTGCTGTGAGAAGACTTCTGGATGATTAAGATGTCTGGCATGGTATTGCTTGTTCAAACTGAACTGAGCTTATATGTCTCTCATAAGCTTTACCCTTCAATGCAGATAGTACAAGCAGTAAAAATTCATTGCTTGATTATACATTTCTAGTGCATCTCAAGTTAAGATGCAGTTAAAAAGCTCTTGTTCTCCTGGTTAAAGTCAAGCAAGTACAAGCTGAGAACCTGCCTGGCTATCCAATAATTTGAGTTTTGGAGAATACACAGGTCCGCAGCATAGAGCTGGTTACTGTAACCACCATTCAAACCTTGGCTCTGATCACAGCAACTGACCAGAGGCATTACACCCAAGAAACTGAAGGCACCACTGTAAAGTCAAAGGGAGAAGACAAATCAGCAATATCCTACCTTATGCCACATTTTCCTCCCTCTTTTGATTCAAAACATACCCAGTAGATGTCTCCCAACTGCTAGTATGCAACAAAGCACCAATTGAATGCCCAGGAGGGGATTTTGAATATCTGTACATAACTGTTCTACATTGAATTATAGTATCTTCTGGAAAGATATGACTCAGTTAAACTGGTTCCACAGAACAGTCCTTCATGCCCCAAGCTATAACAATTTTTTTTCTATTATGTACCCGTTTCTCGAGAACTTTTCACATGTGACAAAAGCAGTATCTTTTAGAAAAGGAGTGCAGGTGGAAGCACTTCTGCAGCTAATCGAATATGGAAGGCTTAGGAGAGAAAAGTCATCTTGCTCTGTTTTCTGTCAGACAGCTTCTGACTTTTGTAGCAGTTGCCTGCCAAGAGAGCATTGACAGAGAAGCAAAATTACAAGGAAGAACAAGATAGGCTGCAACCATCCAACTGGATGTAGCACATGGGTGCTGCTACAGTAATCTGCTTGCTTTGATGCTTCTGCACCCATACTACTGCTAACAACTGAGGACCTGATTTCTGGAAAGCAGAGGTTTAATAAATGTCAAATAGAAATTTCAGGAGCTTCTGCTTAAGGAAGGGGCTATGTCAGTGCTGTCCTACTAGACCTCATGTTCCAACAGCTTTAAACAACAGTGCTCTAATGCAGAGTGTTAGCCTCTGACTGCACTGACTGTAAAATTTCAGCAAACCAAAGGTTTGTTTTTGTTTAGTTTAGCAAAAGAAATAAAGAAAATAGAAATTCATTAACAACTGACCACAGCTAAACTATGTAGCAAACCTTCAAGAAAGAGAGGATAAATTGCTAGAGACTAGTTTTGGTTCTGTTTTTCTCTTTTGATGTCTGAAGAAGTGACAGCAATACAAGGGCAGCTCAGCTGCCCTGATTCCTCAGGGATCGTCTCTGCAAGGCAGCATGTTAAAACTGTAGTGGAAGTTAGAGGAAAAAAGTGTGGAAGTTGTGGGCCACTTTTATACTGAAGGTGTGAATTTAAAAGCAAAGCCATTTCTTAAGGAAGAGATTGGTCTTTCCATTAAATTATACTCAGCTGTTTTTACCTCTTCCTACATTTTTTCCCCCTACATTCTAAGGATGATGATGTTACAGTTGTTGTGAGCAATTGACAGTATGAACAACAGCATATTTTCTTCTTTACGAAAACATCCCAAAGCCTTGAAAAAGCAATCAGGGGAGTGACTGCTTGGAGACAGGAAAATGGCAGGAAAATTGCCTCCTCCTTTCCAGAGGGTGACAATCCACAGAGGATATTTTTGGAGAACATTTGCTTCACCTGTTTCAAAAAGGTGCTTGCCTGCTTTAGAGTGGGTGAGATCTTGGTGGTTCAGGCTCTGTCTCATTCTATAAAAGATTAGGACAAATGGATACATCAGCTACAGTTTGGATTCCTACAATGCAAAAAAGCCTCTAAGGGTGCTGAAATATGTAATGATAGAAACAGCAACTAATCAGCTATAGCCACAGTTCAGGAAGAACAGTCAGTTAAAAGCTGATATTGCTGCTGGTTGAAGGATTTGGGGCAGAGCTTTAAGTCACACCTCCAGGTACGATTCTTGGCTTTTGTGTGGCAAAGGGATTACTCTTTACTGGGATAGCCTTCCTGGAGGTAATGACTAGTCCTTCAGGAATTGAATCCTATTCTTTCCACAGCATAAGAAAACATCTGTTTCATCTGGTTCTATAGCTCTACTCAGGAAAAAAGACAGATTTGCTTTTAAACACTGCTTCTAGCAACTGTGCCAGTTTAGAATACCAAACTCCAAGGGAATGTCCTGCAAACTTCAGTTGTTCCAGTTGAAAGGTCTGTTCTTTGTCTCACACAGAAAGCCAGGGATAGCAGCAGGCAGTGCTGAAGGCTCAACAAAAGGAGGATTAGCAGACAGTGTTAAAGCAAAGGAGCAACAAGTCCCATCAGCTACAAAGGAAGGGCTAGTGACATTAGTTAAAGCATACTTGTTCTACCCCATCCAGCCCAGCATGGTCCAAGCTGAGGCTGGACAACAAAGTGACTGCAAAGTGGCTCAGTGGTGTTGGTCCCTGTTAAATGGGTGACCATCTTGCTGGTTTGAAAATTTTAAACCAAAGCAGCAGGTCTGATGCAACTAAAAGCCAAAGGGGGTGGTGGGGTGGATTGAGGAGAGAGGGTGCTCTTCTCCAGCTGAGATAGGTAGGTGCAATCTCTGCTATTTTAGACCACCTCAGATGCCAGAAGTGAAGCCGTGCTGCTCCAGTAAGCAAAGTCGTAAGATCCTGTAAAATCCCCAATCCCAAACTTGCTTCTGCCATTTACAAGGAAGGGTGGCTTGACTCCAATTCACCTTAAAGTTGGGTGAGGAGTGTTTAAACGAGTCCTGGTTCTTACCATTGGTTTAACTGTCCCCACCAATAAACTTGGTAGGAGCTATTTATGAGATTGGGCCATTAACAGCTTGTGCTGAAGCCCTCTTCAGTCCCCAGGTGGAAGGGGGAGTTGATAGGAGGATTTTCCAGCCAAGTCTGAAAGCTTGGCTATAGCATTTCACATTGGTTGTCATCAAACAAAGTGCTTTCCTGAAGTCTTCAGGGCTCAGGTATCCAGGCTAGGCCAAAACCTAGCTATCACTGGCAACAGTGAGGTTTGGTGCAAAGGTGCACTGGTCCTGGCTAATCAAAACAAAAAACACAAATGAAAGGGAAAGGGAGACAAAACCAAAAGGAACCTTAGAGCAGGTACTCACTGAGAAGCTGAGTGTGAGAAAATAAAATCACATTTTGTTTTAAAATTATAAATACTCTCCATATAAAGTTATTAAATAACTGTGGCTGTGGTGAGTTCCAGTGATCCTCCTAAGCAATGTCCGGTAGTCTTTAAAAAGTGATCTTTGCTCCCCATCTCTCTTGCCCTTGGTTTAAGTGCAGCAGGGGTTGTCAATGACTAGCATAACATCAATGCCATACACTTCCAGGAGGTCCATGAGGAAACTTCGATCCCCCTGGGGATCCAGGCCCATGCCTCGTGCGTGGTCAGCTGTCAGTGTCTTGTCCTGGCTGGCTGACACTTCCATCAGCGTCTGGAATATGCGGTTGTTCTGCTCCATGAAAAACCTATAGGGTAAAGTCAGTGAAAGCGATTGCATTGGACCTCCAGAAAGACAGTATATTTAGCAAACAGGCAGCAGAGCCCCAGAACTGCATCTAACCCCTTCAGCCAGAGATCCCACCTTGTTAGGTGGCACTGTAGTACTTCTCCACTCTCTCATCGGGTGACCCAGGATAAACAAAGAGCAGTAACTTTTAATTGACAGTGGTGCTCCCATCTGTGGGCGGCGTTTCCCTCAGAAGAAGCCACGTTGTCAGCTAAAGTGTGTTCTGTGGTCACCAAGCAGGTACATTACACCTACAGCTCCCGTAATGTAAAGGAGGAAACAGTGTTGTCACCCATCTGATAAGCCAGTGGGTAAATAAATTCTCCATTACTGGTGCAGAACACACCAGTGAGAGCTCCTTCTTACCTGGTGCTTTCCTAGAAACATGCAAAGCTATTCAGAAAGAGCTCTGGCTACACCTGTGAAGCTCAACAATCAGAGCTCTGCCCTGACAGCCCTTCACACAGTTTCCTCCTATTATTTCTCACCTGCTGCAGAGTGTGAATAGCAACAGGCAGTGAAGGGCTGCAGAGGTGGTAAACGTGGTTTTTATCTAATTCTGTACCTCCTACTCTACACCCAGTTCTGGTTCCTCTGTTTGCCAGGTATGAAGTCAGCCACATCAGTAAGCCTATCCTTCACATCCAGGTCTGATCTCCACCCTGTACCAGCCCCCATCATGGTACAGTGCCTGCTTCCCATGAACATTGTCCTTTTCAGAGCCAAAGAAGAAGAATTTCTGGCAAGAAAAATCCTATAGTGCTTATATTTGCGAGGGCATTCTTATATCTCTGATTGTGTTTTTAAAATTCACTTCTCCCTCCTAACACATAAGTGACCCGAGCAGATACTATATTTTGGCTTCTCAAAATGAAAAGATGATCTGAAGAGGAAGAGCCAGTCTGTTTTTATAACTCTAGAGGAAGAAAGCTAACTATGGAATTATGTCAAACATGCTGTTTCATAATGTGCCAAACAGTGCAACACAAAATCGGTGCAAGAGGCTCCCTAAAACTAGCCATGTCCAACTAAGTATTAGAGGTAGCCACTCACAAGATGAAAAGGTCCTCTTCACAGGAGCTGCAGTCCTCACCCACTTCTTGAGAATACATTAACATCTGCCTGAGAGAAGGGAGACAAGTTAATTGCACATACCTACTGTGAACCTCAAAGCTTTATGAGATGATCACAATCTACCAAGAGATGAGCTGAACCAGTAGTATATTTTGAAAATACAACAAGGAGGAAAGAACAAAGGAGCAGTGTCCTCTTTATGCCACATCTCCTATCAGGAGCACCCAGATGTCTGTGATTACCTTTGGTCATTGAGCCGTCGGTACTTCTCCTTGTCAGCATTGTTAATTTTCAGGAGTGGTTGCAGATGTTCGTGATGCGTCTTCACATTCTGGTTGTCCACATAGACATCATAGAGATCCCGTTTCTGCTCAAAGATCTTTTCTGTTGTACCTGCCAAAACCAGAGAAGATTTTCAGAGCAGCATGTTGCTTTCCCAGCAGACCAACTGTTCTCTCCTGCTTGCATAGTTAGTCATTCCATGCACAACCTATTTCTCATCAGTTCTATTCCACAGTCTGGTGTCTCAAGACATTTTACAGCCTCAAGCTAAAAACATCATGCCTAATCCATAATACTTACAGGCCACGTATGATACTTCTGTCTCCAGCATTTCTATGTCTGCCACATTCACATAGAAGAATGGTTTGGACTCTGGGACAGTTCCTCCAAGACCAGGCAGAGAAACATTTGCAAGGCAACAGCAGCAATACACTGTGGACAAGAGAAGTACATCCTGAGATGCTTTTGGTTTCCTTCAAGGGCACTCTGAACCCCACAAGGCCAGCTCTCCCACAGGCCTCTATGAAAACAATGGTCAGAGCTCTGAAATGCCTTTGAACACCAGAACTTGTCAAGTGATGACATCCTGTTTCGCATAGGAAATAATCCGTTCTCCCATAGGAATCCCACATTCTAGAATCCACAAATTCAGTCAGTGCTCTTACTGTCCTGTGCTGATAGGAACTGAGTTTGACAGTGCCAGATGTGTCCTTACTCACGAGGCCTGAAGAAAAGCATTTGGTAGGAAATGCGTAAATGCAGACTGAGTGGTATCTTCACGAGGCATGGTCACAATGGGTTTTGAAGACATGCATGATGTCTGTCCCCTCAGTACTCGCAGGCATTTCTGCAATTCTTCAGCCTACTAGATCAGAGCTCTGCAGTGTCCCTGGAAACATACCTCTATAGCAGACAACTCCAACTGGGGGTGGTGAAAATATCAATATGCGCTTGCGCAGCAGGGCAAACTTCCAGAGGACGAGGATCTGCTCACCAAAGAATTTTATGAACTGAGACATACAGCCAGCAGGGTGTGTGATCTGCAGGTGGAGCGAAAGGGAAGAAAACAGCTCAGAGGTGAAACAGGGACACATGCACAGATGCTAAGTCTAAATGTGGGAGCAAGACCAGCACACAGCTTGCAATGGTCCAAGTAACAAAATCTTATCTAAAGCAGCCTACAAAGCGTGGGAGTGATTGCTTATATAAAGGAGCATGAGGCACCAGCAAGGAGCAGCAGACCTCTGCCCATTCCTGCAGGCCTCAGGCACCTGCCTCACCTTCATCTCTGGGTACATGTATCTGTGGATGGAAGGCAGCCAGTGGACAGGTTGCTGAGAGCTGGGCGTGCCCTTGCTATCAGGGAGAACTCCTTTCTTGTCATCATAGAATGCCTCTAAATGGGAGTAGTGCCCTGGCATTTCCAGCTGGTGTCTGGAAAAGAAAGGAAAAAAAGGAGATCTGTAGTATCTCCAGAGTATTTGTTTAGTGCCTTGTCCACAGCAAACACCTGCTCTCCCAGCTAAAAGGGATCCTGGGTGCCTCAGTTGTACAGACTCATCCCGGAGGGTGGAAGAAACATCAGGACTACCAGCTCCCAGTGCAGCCAGAGAACACCCACAGGATTGACACACGTGGCGAGCTGGGCTGTACAGAGCACTGGTCCTGTTTTAAATACACTCAGGTAGGAGCAGTTTTCTGCCATCACCATTTTTGCTGCTAGATCCACTCAACACAACTGAAGCACACAGCTAGGCAGGATCACCATTACACAATTAGAAGCCTTCTGTAAGGCCCTAATAAAATGGTTTTCAGAAGGCAAAAAGGAGAACTTCTTGTTATCTCAACTCTCCCTGTGACACTTATGTCTGCCTACAGTAACCAGGGTTTGGGTAGCATTTGACTAGCCTCTTAGGAAGGAACAGACTGCTACTAATCGGTTCCTTGTCTCCTTCACACTGTGAATCTGTTAAACTTTCTGGAGAAATAGCCAGTCAAGGAAATCACAGCAGAGCATTGTTACTGAATTCTCACTTGCCTAAAACTGCTCTCCATAGAAAGAACATTATCTCTCCCAGGTGGGGAATGGCCAGGCTCATTCCCAAGGGAACTTACCTGACCTGGTTCTCCAGGAAGTGCATGTACCTATACAGCAGCGTGTAGGAAGGGGAGAGGATGCCCACGGACTTCATGCGGGCACCACGCTCTAACTCACTCTCCACAGGCATGTTGGCAAAGCAGGCCAGGCCAAAACAGAGCCCTTTCCGGAAATAACTGGAGACAAAGTTTGACAGAAGGGTTAACGTTAAAAAGAGGACAGAAGAAGAAAGAAAGGTAACTGAGGACTAAAATTACTGATTTGGAAACATATTTTCTTCTGTAAGAAACTCCCTGAAATCCCACCATGCTAACTGAAGGGCTGAGGACAGGCCTTGGATGCTCCAGACTTCTCAGCAGCAAGACAAAATATTTAAGGCAAGAGTTCCCAGGAGTTCCCACTCCAGCCCCATCACAGGCCGGTAAGGAATGCAAATAAATAACTTGGAAGGAAGACCAACAGAATGCATGATTCAGTCAGACCAGAGCCTTTGCTCCAAGGTAGAAGCCTCCAGTGAATGCAGTTCTGAGTACAGTACAGCTACCTGGTCACATTGAAGCACACTGATGATCAGACTGCGAGGGTTCACTTCACATGCCTTTAAGAAAGTAACTGTTATTCCTGCCCAAAAGGAATTGTGACACTGCAGTTCATTGTGAAACATTGCTGCATTGCAACATTGGGTTAGCAGAATGCAGAAAATTCCTCTTACGTGTTTCCACTCAAGGAGCTAGCAAAAAAGAAAGTGAACAATACCTGTTTATAACAACATTGAAAGGAACCAAAAGCCCTGGCAGAGTTAAGAACATTTTTCTAAGTCCTGTTCCTGCAAAATCCTTACCATTTCAGTTCTGCCATTTTTTGCCCTTCACCCTAGACCTCTGCTTGCAGTCTCAATGGTGGCAGTGCAGATCATTTGCCCAGTACACACTGAAATTTGCACACCATCAAGAAGCTGGCCTGCCCCAGTTGGCCTCCACAGGCAAAGCAGTCATACAGCAGATCCCTGCAGCTTGCTGGTACTTAATACCATATTGAAAGTGTCTGAAAAGTATCTTTGGCACAGGTAGAAACAGTTTAGCAAGCAGGTTTCTGCAGGACCCTAGCTTCCTACAAGGTATTTTTCTTGCATGTTCTGAATTAAGAGCTGGTGGTGTTGATGCACAACTAAGAAAGGAAGAAGTAATATAGCTCAGATGTACTCACATGAAATCTGACTGGATTTTGTGGGACCCGCTTGCCATGGATTTGAATTCCACACCTTCCAAATCTATATCCTGGGGTAAACACCATTCCACCATGTTGCCTGCAGAGAAGAAAATTAAATTGGGTAAGCTTGAATACAGTACCCATTTCTAAAATGCAAACATCATCAACAGAAAGTTGTTGCTTTCCTAACCCTGGAACACCTGTAACTGTGCCTTAAAACAACTCCTGAACTCCTAAATTGTCTCAGACAGTACGTGGCATATGATACTCCATATATCTCTTGCAAGTGTTACTTGTTGTAGCACAACACACAGACACTGCAGGACACTTAGGGCCACTTCTGAAGCTAGTGCTATTTTGTTGATTTATTCTTGATAAACTTAATTACAGAGCAACTACAATTTTACCTGATGGTGGATAAGCTTTGGTCTACACAAGCATCCATCCCACAAAAAAGAACCAAAGGACATACTGTTGCTCTTTAAGATGAGTTTTTGGGATAGCTCACACCACCACCAATATTGTTCTTTGCCTGAGCTTGGCAGGCCTGGTCAAACAGAAACCCCTGAGCCATCATCCAAGTCATCACTTCTTCTCTGAAGTCTCTCCTATTTTCTTTAGGTTAGGAGGAGTTAGCTGAAACTTTGTATGTAGACTGAAGTAATGTGTAATGTGTTTGTGCATGCTAGAATAACCAACAAAAAAGTACATAAATTACAAGCTACATCAAGATCAGCAAACATCTGTCACCTGCCAACCCAGCCAGAAAGTATGCAGTTGTTCAGGGGAAAAGGCCACCTGAGGAGCCCGATCCTGGAACAGATGATATTACAGAAGTCACAAGATGTCCCTAAAGCAAATGAAGTCCAACAAGTTTACCATGGACCAAGAAAGGGGTCACTTCTCACACTTTCCCATCCCAGCACTTCAGAGCCCAACCTGCCTACCTGGACATTCCCATGGCGCTGAGATGTGCTCCAAATTTACCCAGAGTTTCTGTTCTCTGTCAGTCTGCCCACAGCATTTGAAGTCATGTGGCTTAGTTTTAAAAACAAGGCAAACAAACCAAAATTCTTCATGATAATGCAATGGCAGGTGCAGCACAAAGGTGCTTCCTACTGGTTCACTCCTTTCCCTGCCCTTTGGGGTGACCATTCCAGCTGGGCTTGCATGGACAGCTACATCTGCAGGGGCCTTCCACTCAGCTAAGGCTCTTGGAGATATTTAAATTAGAGGCCTCATTTCTGAAGCCTGTCTTTTGTCTCATTACTCATACTGCACAAGTATATGCCTGCACAGGAATAGGGCTTAGCTACTGACATTTAAATAGGCTATTTTTCTTCTCACATAGATGCTGTATTCAGTAGACCTCCCCCAGCCCTGCCTGGCAAGGACTTCAAAAAACCCAACAGCGTCAGGCATGGCAACAGGAGAAGCTGTGCATCCAAGTGCCCGCTTGCAGTGCACAAGCAGAGCTCTCCCGCAGAGCCGGGCTGGCCGGGAGCAGCAGCAGCCTCGTGACCCCGAGCACAGCCCTGTGCAGTCCCACAGGGAAGCACAGAGCTCTGCTGTGGCCTCTGAGGCGTGTGAAAGGCTGGCAGAGAGAGCCAGTGACATCATAGCAGCCCGCGCGCTCCCCTGGAGGGCTCCCAGATTATACAGAGATGGTGGCTTTTGTTGTTTTGGGTTTGTGTGAGCCTGTTTGGTTTGCTTTTTAAAGGCACAAGAACCTTCCTTGAAAGCGTGAGGAAGTCAACTCTTGAGACTGTTGCCTCATAACCATGAAATTGTGGTTAAGGGCAGATGTGCTTTTAAGCCTTGCCCCACAGAGCATCCCTTATTGGTCATTACCTGTGGATTCACAGATCGATAGGTGAGAGTGCCATCAAGGGCAAAGGAAGATGGGCTTTGCTCAGTTTAGCCACAAACACTGTCAGGTGTCACATCCACTGCAGAAGTGTTAAAGTGGACATTGCTCAAACAATGCCCGCTCTTGTAGCAGCAATAAGGAAAGAATGCCTTGAAACAGATCTTTACCCTGCTTGTGACCTCAAAACCAACTCACCTATCACATAGGTTGTTTGTTTTTTTTTTTTTCTTCCTAGGATCTGTCAGGAGCAACCTGCATCTGTGCTCCTGGCTGTTCCTCATGCCACCTTGCCCTGTGAACACACGGGGGACGTGGCAGTCGGAGAACAAACGCGGAGATTAAAAAAGTAGGAAAGTCAGTCTGGCGCAACAGGAGAGCAAACAAAGGAGAGACTTCACCCAGATGCAATACGGCTGCCAGTCTGCCCGAGAAACCAGAGGAGGGAGGAGGGAACAATGTTGTAGAAAAACAGGAACCGCTGCCCTTCCCCATGCAGAAGGCAACTCTCATGCACACAGGAAACTTTCCAAGTGAGAGTCACCCATCATTAGAGAGCAGACTAGTGAGTTTGCTGAGAGTCAGATCTGCAGATCTGATCTCCTAGAAGCTATCTCCCACCTTCAGGCCAGGTCTGAGCCAGAACTCATTTTCTAGAGTGCAAAGTTCTTCCTCTTTCCCTCGTATTTTCTTTCCACTGTATTTTCACACCCTCACAAAGAAGATACTGGCACCCCCATTTGGGGATCATCACCTGTCACTCCTCACTACTAGAGGTTTCCTGAGGGCTTTAGGATCCCCTACTGTGCAATGTTACCATGTTGTGCTAGGACAGAAGCATGAAGTGTAACCTAAACATCACACTTGCTCTGTTTCCTGCATGGAAGAAATGTGGGAGAGAAAAACAGAATATTTGCATGTTCCCTGGTGCAAAGCACATTACTTCCCTCTCTTCCTTCCTTGTCTCTCTCCATTACTCACAGACGCTTTAAGCCAACAGACTGTGTGGGACCTCCACAAAGACTGTTATCAGCTGCCCCACAACAGCAGTGAAGACAGCTCCTTGTCAAGTGCCACAAGGTTCACCATGCTGCACATGAGGACAGCACTGAGTGTTGACAGTCACAGGGACACTGGAACTGTAACAGTGACCTGGCAACCCCATAACCTACCTTTGGAAACTCATCACATGCAACTGCGTACACTAAGCTCTTCTGCTTCAAGCCCTTCTAAATTTTGGAGGGATGTTGTTACGTTCTTTATTAGCATGGTCACCGCTTCATGCTTCTACAGGAAAACCTCTCTTGCCCACCTACTTGCCTGTAGTCGGGCAGACACTACCTGGCATAACCACCTGCACAGCCACCACCAGAAATTCAGCTGTTCCTATGCCTCAGCAAGCTGCCAAAGGAGGTCTGCTGTGCTTTTCCTGGGCAGGACCAAGCAGCTCAGACACTAACTGGATGATTTCCTTTAAGTCATACACAAGGACCAGATACCTTTACAAACATTACAGAAATCCTTCACGCTATCTGATGTGGTTGACCATTAATTCCTGTACTTTCTTTCTGACCGTAGCAAGTTCACGCCATTTAACTTACTGACATTTTTCCAAGTCCACACCCTCTGCAGGGCACTTTGCCCCCCAGCTGTAAAGCTGACATTTGCTGGTATATTGCTCACAGTCTTGTCATCCATGCTGGGTAGCAGCAGGAGGCTGAATCTTCCTGGACTTGACAGACTACTCCAAGGCTGATGACACCCAGCATTAACTGCACATCAGATGCGAGAAGAGCTGTTGCCCAACTTTCCCTGGACTTCATTCAAAGCAACATCTGGTTCAGAGAAACTCCTGAGAAAGCTCAGCTTTCTGCCAACTCTCAAGAAAATCTCACCCTTTCATAGAAGGCATATGCTGTCAAATCAAAAGACAACCTGCTGTTGCTGCAGTCACCCAGACTCTTTCATGTTTTGGATACTTAGGAGAAACAGCTCCATTTTCCATCTCCTGCTGGAAATATGACATCCAATCTTATTTCAGATTTTTATGAATGAATGACACTTCTCTCTGGTGCAGTATGAAAGGGTAACTTCTCAAAATCCTTGGGTGTTTTGGGACACAGCAGCCATGCTGTCAGATAGTGGGCATTGCTGACACCACATCATACCAGCAGCCATGCCCTGTTCTCTACTTCCTTAGGATTTTCAGTTCAAGACTGGCATTCAGTCTTCACTACCAAGGCCCTCTTATGAGCAGGATGTCAGGTAATTTCCCCTCCCACTGGAGAATCAACCTCACTGTGCTTTACAGACCTCTTTCCTGTCTCTTGTACTTTTGCTAGGGATTTGCTAAAGGCAGTGCCTGTCTAGAGAAGAAAGAGGAGCTCAGTCTCACATCTGGATGCAAATGGGCTCCTGAATGTCTCTCTTGCCTTTGAACCCCAGGTTGGTGCCTGGCAGCCAAATGACCCAATAATGTGTCTCAGGACAGCAGATCCCTGCGCACAGCAGTACCTGTGTTCACAGGTGCAAAGCAGGTGCTAACTTCCTGTCTGTGTCCTAGCATCCTGTTTGGTGATACTGTGGGAGCAGCAGGACTAGGAAAACAAAGTTAGAGATATTTTCTGAAATGATGATTTACAGGTTTGAAATTAATAACCTCTGTCAGTAGTGACACAACAGCACAGTCCAACAGCACTGACAGAGGTGGATATGGCAGTGAGAAGTGGAAAATATATTCCCTTTGCCCCTCTCCTCTGCCCTCATGGATCGCAGCACTCCTTCAAAGCACTAAGTTCCAGAGATCCCACCAGAGGCCAGCCTCTAAACACACTGGTCACCAAGAAGTACGCAGCTGAGCTGCTGCTGGTGATCATGCCCTGCGAGCCTGCCGGATTTACGCCTGCCACAAACGCCATCCATCACCGATAGCTGCGGGCAGGTCTGCGCCACTCCACGGAGACAGAAGGATGCTCTCAAGATGCTGCTAACAGGTTGGTGCCCTCCAGGCAGCGCTGGGCAGAGGCTCGGCCTAAATCTGTGCGGGGCACAGGGGGTGCCCCAGCGTCGTCCACAAACTCCCCGTGCCGTGGAGACAGACCCATCCCTGTCCTCGGAGCGGCACCAGACGCGGCGCCTTCCTCCCGCCAGAACTTCTTCTCGGCAGGATGGAGACCAAAAGCAATCCCCCTTGTGCTCCGTTTTCGGCAAATGCCCAGGGCCCCCGCTCCCGACGCCGGCAGCCGTGCGGTGGAGCCGCGGTCCCCCGTGGGGGCAGAGGGCAGCCCGGCTCCCGCTGGGTCCGGCCACGCTGCCCCAGCGCGGCGGGAGGAGCGGTCCCTGGGAGGCGGGATGCGGGGGCAGCGCTCCCCAAGGGAAGCCCGGTCCCGGCCGCATCCATCGTACTCCAGCGGCACCGGGAGCCCCAGGCCCGGCCCCGGCGCCCCGGCCCGCCCGCTCCCGGCGCCGCTCACCCGTGCGGGGGTCGAAGGTGACCACGAAGACGGCCACGATCTGGTCCTCCTCCGCCTCGGCCCGCGGCGGCCCCGCCGCCTCCGCCGGCCCCTCGCCGTCCCACGGAGCCGCGCTCCAGCCGCCGCCGAGCCGCCGCCCGCCGCCGCCGCTGCTGCCCGGCTCGGCCGCGGGCGGCGGCGCCGACACGGCGGGGCCCTCGGCCCAGAACAGCAGCGGCGCCTCGTCCGAGCGCTCCACCATGGCCGGGCCGGGCCGAGCGGAGCCGGGCAGAGATGAGCCGAACCGAGCGGGGCAGAGATGAGCCGAGCCGAGCCGAGCCGAGCCGAGCCGAGCCGAGCCGAGCCGAGCGGAGCCGAGCCGAGCGGAGCCGCACCCCCCGCGCCGCACCGGCGGGGGGCGGGCAGCGAGGGGCGGGAGCTCGGCGGTGTCACCGGCGGGGCGGGGCTGCGGCCGCGGCAGCCGGCGGAGAGCCCGGCTCGGAGCCCCCCGGTGCCGGCTCCTGGAGGGGCACGGGGGGCTGGGGCTTCACCTCCTGGCGCAGGGCAGAGCCAGCTGCCCCCCTTGTGTCCCCACCCGGCTGTGACAGAAATGCCGAGCAGCTGCTTCTCCCAGCCCCGTTAAAGCCATCCTGCTGGAAAAGCCACGGGAATTGGGCAGAGCAACGGGGGCAGGCTCGCACCCCATCAAATGGCTGCGGTGGAAA